TACCTGGAGGGTCAGGGAAACTTAGTAAGTATACTTATATACATATTCTACCCCGCGAACGTAAACCCAACAGATTCCCTCATTTTATACTAACCCCCAGTAAGATAAGCCCGTCCCCTGACCCCCGAGTGAGCTAAAGTCTTAACCCCTAGCATCCCCCTTCATAAACCTATAATAGTCCCCTACAGAATCCCTTACATAACTCCCTTGAAGGAGTTTAAACCCTAAACCCCAAACCCTAAACCCTAAATCCTAAACCCTAAACCATAAATCCTAAACCGTAACCTATGTAACCCCCCTTTAAGGGAGTTTAGACTAGAGCCTAAGTAGCAGCCAGCTTCCTGCTTCCAAGAGGCGGGTATGCTTCGGCTGTACACGAGTGCCGCCTTGGTTTTTGGTCAGGGTAATCGTTGAAGGTTTAGGGTTTAGGGTTTAGGGCTTAGGATTTAAGGTTTAGGGTTTAGGGCTTGGTTTTCTGGGTTGCTGTTAAGGAACTTAAATTAAGTTACCATAATGGGTATATATGGTAAATAATAGGGTTTTCCCCAATATAGTAACTTAATTTAAGTCCCTTAACAGCAACCCAGCTGTTGGTCAGGGTGATCTCTCAGTTGAAGGTTTAGAGTTTAGGGTTTAGGATTTAGCGTTTAGGATTTAGGGTTTAGGGCTTAGGCCCCTGTATGGTGATACTCACCTCCTGGTGATGCCAGACTTTTCGGGGGTATCTGTTGCCCAGACGCCCTAAAGGATCCAACCAATGGAACGGGTCCCTTTTTTTGGATCCTGTGGGGAGTATCTATTCTTGGTTGGCCGGTAGAGCTGCTTGAAAACTCTTATAGTCCCTCTTAACTCGATAGAATAGCATAGCTTTAGGTATATCATAACAAGACCCCTAATATACCCTACATTCTATCTACTTAAGGGGTAGCGTCTTTATGAAACGAGTCTGGGAAGAGCAGGTCACCCTCCAGGAATGACCCGAAGGGCGCAAGTGTCTACATAGCGTCTGCGAGCTTCCTGAATTGGAGTCCCGTTTTGGGGTCCCTACAAGAAAGAAAGCTTTCAGTTTTGTGGCGTCTACATTGGGGTCCCCCGATTTTTGGAAAACCACCATATACTTCAGGTGCAAGGAGCTGCCTGCATAGGCACTTGGTGGTCTAGGTCTTTGGGGGGAGGGCGTTGTCAAGAGTATAGTCTGTTGTTGGGAACCCTAGACATTGGGTGCCATATTACACTAGGGACCCAAACAAGAAACATTATCATGACAACCTTCCATATGCCACTAGAGTACTTGGACCCCTGACGAGGCCAGGTTGGTTGTTCTGTAACGGGTATATTATGGCCTCATATAAGGATAATACAAGGAAATAAAGGCAATGAAAACTAACATATTTTTCTAAAACCAATCCTTTTGGGGAATTACAAGCAGTGAAAGTGAAAATTATATCTTCAAAGACCAACCCGTTTAGGGTAGGACTCCCTAAACCCTAAACCCTAAACCCTAAGCGACAGGATGCAAGGGAGCCAGCCACAATCACGAGCAGGAGCCACGCTCCGGCCGCCTTGCTTCTTTAGGCTGGGAGGCTTGGCAGTAACATTCAGACTGCTTGGTGTAGGGTTTAGGGTTTAGGGTTTAGGGACTTGGGATTGGGTACTGCCCCCCTCAGTAACAGTTGGATAATAACGAAAATGTGGTTATATGTAGCCTGTAATAGGACCAAAACCCACACATGGTAACCCAAGGTATCCCCTTTATTGACCTACTTAGTAAGTCCCCCGAACCCTCCAAGTAATGTCATCTACCATGATGAATATGACGGACCATATTGGATATTACCTTGTTATCACTCAGGCTCTGCCAGTTCTATCTACAAGGCACTATATACACGCAGTGACCATCTAGTTCCTATGTTTTTTCCATTTCATGCTCCACGTACGTAGCGTTTTTTTGGTGGTTGAGCTAAATACGTTCATATTGTATTCAATTAATATGCTGTAGTATCAGCAACCCAAAGCAATATCGTAAATAGCCTACGTGACAGAACACCCTCTGTGTTCGTCTCCACTCTTGCAAGAAACGAATTGTAGCGTACTGCTCTCACTATAACAGTCTATATTAGGGGTCTTATTAAAGGCTATACACATAATCATATTAAGAATACTATCCAACTGTTGCAGAGCGGAGGCAGTACCCAGGTTATACTAAGTTAGCCCAGGATTCCTGTGATCCGGGCCCGCGATAGCGTTTACAATTAGAGCTAGCTAAGGGAGAAGCCAAAAAGGGTATCTGGGTTTAGGGGTTAGGGTTATGTAGAGGATATATAGTGTTTTGTAGGAATATGGAAGGACCTGAGGGTGGGGGGTTAGTATAAACGAATGCATAATGATCGGGAACATGTCCAAAAACCATCCGTGTTCCTGTTGCCCTTGCCTTTACAGAAGATATGCGCGCGCCTAGCCTCTCCCAATAAGTCCCAATCCTAACCTGAACCCGCTGAGGGTTTAGGGGTTAGAGCCGCCCCCCGCCCCCCCTAAACCTCTTAACCCTCAGGGCTAAACCCTGAGGACCCTAAACCTTATTTGTAGGATCCCTAGGGTAAATTCTAAACCAACAGACACCGTCGCCTCACGTCCCGCGTGACAAATGAGTAGCCAGTGCACGGTAGGCCAAAGCGCACCTCAGGTTGTTGAGCTGGGTTGCTATATTGGGCTTATATTAGGGTTATATTATATAGGGTTATATTAGGGTTATATTGTAGAGGGTTGAAACTAGGGTTATATTATATAGGGTTATATTAGGGTTATAATACGTAGGGCTATATTGCGGATATATTATATAGGGTAATGTTAGCGATATAAGGGGTATACAGGGATAATGGAAAAGAAAATGGAAACTACTATCTAGTGTTTAGGGTTGAGGGTATAGGCGAGGAACTTAAGAATGAGGACCCTCTTGTACCAAAAAAGGGGGTAGGGTCTGGGGTTTAGGGTTTTAGACACCAGGACCCTCCATGTACACTTAAATAGGGGTAGGACCCTCCCTGTACCCTTGAATAGTGGTAGTTGGTCCATAATCATGGCTACTTGGGGTATATAGAGGGTAGGCGATCTAGTTTAGGGTTCGAACTTTGGAGTCAGTCTCGTATGCTCGGAACTCTGAAGGATGCTGCGAAGTTTGGGCTTCTTTGCTGCGCCTCATAGCTTACTTGGGGTTAGTAGGGCATGAGGAACTATATACCACATACGGTTGTTTTACGGCTTTTAAGGGTTTTCTATAAGTATATATATATATGTATGTACATATATTATATGAGGTTTATAATATTACCTGATTCCCTATGCACAACCAGTAGGATAGAGTTTACCATATCTCCCTCAGAATAAATGCGTGATAGTGGGGAGAAATCTAGTTATGCGTCCCATGATTTATGGATTGAGATTATTGAGTACATCTCAGGGGCCCCCATCCCGTAAGCGTCAGGTTGCAGCGATGAGGGTAGAGGTAGCTATCAGTTGCCCTCCCCATAGACCATGCTTTTCCGGTAAAGAATGCCAGAATCATTCAAAACAGGGGAGAAGGTGACAGATTCAGCTTGAAACATTCCATCCTCTACAGCACCTCTCCCAGATGCAGAGATCTAGTTTTTAGAGCGTCCATTTTTGAGAACCCCTTCACCTTGAACCCTCCTTTATTACTTTACCTCTGTACAATCCTCTTAAGAAATACGTCATAAACTTACCCTACAAAGAGGACCCCGAAGCCCCAAAGTCCCCACCCTAGGCCCCCAAGACCTGAAAATCCTGAAGCCTCAATGCCAAAAATTCTACTCCCTAAGCCTTGAACCCTGAATCCTGGACCCTAAACCCTAAAACTGAACACCCTAAGCTTTAAGCCCTGAGCCCTAAATTCATTCATTCATCCCTGAACATTCAACCAAGCAGCTGAGCCCTAAACCCTAAATCCTAAACCCTAAACCCTATAGAACCAGATTCATCCCTTTAAAGATTCAACCCAGCAGCTGAGGCCGCCAAAGAGAAGTACAGGCGTAGACCACTCCCCCCGCGTGGAAGCCGTCTCAACTGAAAAGGCGCCTTTAGGATTTCGGTGCAGAATAGGCGTTATTTCATGCTTTGAAAAGGCTGCGGAACAAGCCCCAAACCCTCACAAAGCCTTCCTTATCCTTAGTTCCTTGCATAAGGCTCCAAAACCGTAGGGGTTGAGGGCTTCCTCCCAGTTCAGGATTTGGTTCAGGGTCAGGGCTTGGGGTTAAGTTGAAGTTTTTGGCCCTAAAGCCTGAATCATTTTCCCCCCCAAACCTGTGAAGCTGCTCTTCTCGCATAACCCCATGGCCCTAATATGAAGCCAACCCAATACTGAGTATCCCAGAATGTATGGGAAATACTCCATACAAGGTGGTAGGATGTTTTAATTGCAGCCATAAAGCCCCAAGACCTAAACAATATGATACCAATTTCAATATTTTCCAATCCCCTGTATACCCTCTGTATACCTCACAGGGCTCATGAAGTTAGGTAAAGGAAGGTGGGGTGTAGGAGTTTGGGTTTTGGGCTTAGGGTTTAGGGGTTCAGGGTTTAGGGGTTTAGGGTTTTGGGGTTTAGGGTTTAGGGGTTTAGGGTTAGGACCCTAAACCCTCAACATTATGGAGTCTACAATAGGGTCCTTTAGCCCACCTCCTGCCTTTGGAGACCCCGGTAACCTTCATGGGTTGCCCTACCACCCTGCCTTTACTACCCCTTGCTGAAGTTCCCCTTAGTTTCATTGATAAATAGTTAGGGGTAGTTGAGCTATAGTCTAAACTCCGAGTATCCCGCTTAATTGGCCCCATAATAAACCCCCCATAGACTCCTTACATAACTTGGAGGAGTTTAGGTTGTGGCTCAGTTAGACTTAACGAAGGCTGCTTAGGCCGAAGCTGGGTCTGGTTCTTGACTGAGGTAAATATAACTAAACATCGAAAACTCATGTTCCTTATCCGACTTCAGTATGAAAGGCTAGAGGTTTTGCAGATTTGTGTATATATATATGTACATATGACAATATGAGCCTTGGACTCAAGTTATAATATGTTCCTTGCAGGTCCCCCCCTTAACCCCGCCCCATACATTCCCCCAACCTAGTTATAGTCCGTAGCTCATACATGCATATATATATATACATATATGCATACATATATATGGGCTATTCTGAAAATTAAGTGCCCATTTTGGCTCTGAATTCCATTACGGCACCAAGATGGGACCCATAAAGCTGAACTTCATAAGCTGAACTTCTCGCATCCTCTTTAATATCCATATGGTACTCCCCTATGCAATCCCCTTTAAGGAGTTTTGACCCTAAACCCTACATCTAGTTTTGACCCTAAACCCTACATCTATATCTGTACATACATATATTTATATATGTGCATATATACATAAGTATATGTGTATACATATATATATATACGTATATGTAAAAGAGTTTAGACTGTAACCCATATGGGAACACCCAAGAAAACATGCGTCCCTAATTCCCAGTGGCCCGCATTTCACATCTGCACAGCTCTAAGGCCCTAAACACCAAACCTCAAACCCTATAGCAGCCTGACTCACATAGGGTTTGGGGTTTAGGGTTTAGGGTTTAGCGTTTAGGGATACAGGCTGCCTACTTCCTGAAGTGCCTGAATCCTCACCCTGAGGGTCCAAGTACCCAAACAACAGGGCTTTGGGTACCAAAAGCCATTTGGATTAGCAGTATTTGGGACCTCAAAACTCATTACTTGGGTACGTGGACCCTGTAGGCTGGCTAAGGATGACCTGAAAAACAGAAAAATTAATCCGGGCCTAAAGCTGCTACGGCGACAAGGACGGCGTGCCTTACGGATCTAGGGTTTAAAGCTTTAAGTTTCGAAGTTAGGGCTCCAGAACTGGTGAGCAGGGTTTAGCGATTGTTGCTAGGTCCATGCACGCGAATAGGCACGCTTAGGTGTCTTCCCAACAGTGGGGTTCCTCAGCACTCTTACCATGGATGCATACCTTGAAGGTCCATAGGCGGAGTGGCCCGGCGTGCTGTAAATATATCGAAGGTATTGCTTAGACTTAGACATGACTTCCACTAAGTAGGTGAAGTGCATTCCTCTACGCCTACCCTGATGGCTGCAATTTCACTCCAGATAGAAGGCTCAACTGCTGTTTGGAGTTGGCCAGGCTAGGTGTGGGGACACTATAAGTTTATGCATGGCTTTTTATGGAGTATATCGGGATGAAGGATAATGCCTACCCCTGTTGGGGGGGTGCATGTCGCAGATGCTAATCTGTAGGCCCTGAATAGTTGCCAATATCATGTTGAGGTCTGTTTGAGGTACGCTATACTATAACTATTCATGGAGCCTAGGACCATAGTGTTGCTACTTATGTCACATTTAGGACTGGCTATCAGTCTGAGGATCGGACACTCCGCCCAAAATGCCGCTAATCTTCAGAACCCCGGACCACTACAGGGTTTCGATCCAACCCAATTGTCCTAGAGTATAGAATTGTTCCGTACACTCCCAGAAAACCAAGAAATTTACGGTTGTAATGATTGTACACTGGACCTTCAGGCTAGGAAGTTTTGCGGTAGAGCCTTCAGAGGTGAAGAGTGTTGCAGTGTCCTAAACCCTAAACCCTTATTCTAGCCTGAAATACCTACATCCTGAAATGGGAGTAGCCTGGTTCTATGGTTTCAGAAGGGTTGAGGGGACATATGACCCAATGCTGTTGTTCATGGTCTCTCAGTTTGATACAATCTGCACACTCACCAATATTGCCAAGAAACCCTGTGAACTCTCACCAAACTCCCATATTGAAACAGAACCTCAACGTAGCAGTGTCTCTTTGTGGCCGAAGCAAGAAAGATGTTCCGCATCATACAACCCAATACCCAAAAGGTCGATAGTATGCCCATGAAAAGGCTATGCATACAGGGCTGAAGGCTTAAGGCATAAGGTTCCCCCCAAAGAAATGAAGCCCACTACAGGTAGGTAGTCTACAGCTTTCCTGGGGCGGGCTGCGGGTGTCCTTAGGAGAAGACTATGGAAAGAACCCACCTCATACATACCCACCTGCAGATGGCTTCACAAAATGGGCGGCCATATGGGATGTCAGGAAACACGTCGAAGTTTTGCAGCAGTTGGGGGTGGCGCACTTGTGAAGCACTAAGGTAGGGAGTTCACTTTGATAGAGTAGTTCTTTGGAATGCGTCACATTACAACAATTTTTGAGTAGCGTTTTTTTGGTGGTTGAACCTAGTGAGATTATATTTCCTATATAAAATCCGATAACCCAAAAGGATGATATAAACTTACTCTATATTGGATACCATAGTATTGTTATTCACGGACGTCAGTCGGTCATGTCGACGAGGCGTTGAGCGCTTTGGCTCCTCCAACAGATGCGGGATTGTCAAATATTATGGTCCCTTTTTGGGTCCCTATTATAATACGGGGCCTAATTTAGGGACCCAAAAAGGGACTATAATTCTGACAATCCCCCAGATAGTCTAGAGTAATTACAGGCGTGCAATAATGGAAGAGAGGTTGGTCAGAACCTCTTGGCATGCACCAAGCATGTTCTGCAGCACTTTTTTGGGGGAGAAGCTGCTGCATCGGGCAGGACCGATGGACTTTGTCGGGCACTTGCACAAAATTTAGCTGCGTGGCGCAGAACAAATGGGAATGTCAACGGACCAAATGGTTGTCGGCAAATGGGACAGCCTGCCTAAGTCCGAGGCTTCGAGGTGCTTGCCAATGGCACGCCTAACAGAAAGAATCCCCAAATAGAATACTATTCATTTGGGCCATTGTCTAAACTCCTAGTATCCCCCCTAATAAGCCCTTATAGTAGTTCCCTGTATAATCCCCTATATAACCCCCTCTTAAGGAGTTTAGACTATAGCTCATATGGGCATAAATGCTATTCCTAGACCCTCCTCCTACCCTCTATTAGGGCCTAAGTACCCACTATTAGGGACCATATATTCCCGATTAAGGGTACAAGGAAGGTCCTGGTTCATTTGGGCTTGTAAGGGAACTGTGTGGGTAGCTATCCAGGCTCCTCCTACATTCTACTTGGAACTTAGGACCCCTACTAAGGGTCAACCCTTAATTACCTATTATATAATAATAATCATCATCATCATAATAAATATGAATAAAGGGGAATCCCAAAGGGTTTAGGTTTTAGGGTTTAAGGTCCAAGCTAAGTCCCAAGAAGCATTCTAGAGACCGTTTTGTGCTTAGCGAAATGAAATGTCCAAGTACGTACTTCCTCAGAGGAAGGCGCTTGATTGCGTAATAGTCTAGGAGAGCCTTCGGGTTTGCGTAGTCTAAGTTAGGTGGACCCCCCACCCCGGTAATAGTGACCATTATGGATAGTAAGGATCACATTCGGGTCCTTTTTATATTCCTATTATACCACTATTACAGGGTGGCGGGTCCTCCTAAAGTCTACTAAGTATCAGATTTACAACATACTAGAACCTACCCTCACAGCTGCAAAGATAGTTTCCTGCTAAGATGTCCGCTCGGAGGCCCCTAAACCCTAAACCCGATCCTGGAAGCCTGACCCACTAGATTGTAAAATCTCACACCCGAATCATGGCAGGCAGCCCACTTGCCTACATATTGGGTTTCTGGCCCTGCACCCAAGAATGATTTGGATTAGGGTTTAGGGTGTTCAACAATGTGAATCTATAACCTGCAACCCTAAAGCCCAAACTCTAAGCCCTAGGCGCCCAAACCCTTGACCCTCAATTGTCAATCCAGAAATCCAATACCCAAACCCCAGACCCCTGAATCATAAACCCCGATACAGTATACTATACTTCTTTTCATGGGCACAAAAAGGGCCCCTAATTCCGAGAAACCCTAAAGCCTGTATAGCCCCTATGTGAACCCTACATAACCCTACAAACCCTATATAAGCCTCATAGCAAGCCTGGTTCACCCCTCCACCCCTCCCTGGACACTAAACGCTAAACCCTGAAAAAACTATACCCTAAAACCTAAACTCAAAACCCTAAACCCTATTTCACCCCCCCTAAACTCTCAATA